TTCACAGGCTTTCTTACACAAAAAGTGCTCATAAAAACCTTAAGTTTATGATTGCTTCATTTTCTGCTTTAGTTCAGTGTTATTCCAGTAGTTGGGCAGAAGAGGGCACATAAGAACTTTTGATTTAATATACTTCTGAATTAAGTACCCCGTTTGGAATAATATTTTAATTTAATTTGATTACAGTTATTTAGTATTTGATTGATACTTAATTTTATGAACCATTTGAGCCCTGAAAGTATTGTAGGTATTCAGAAAGCTTTGTCATTGTTAATTCATAATGTGTTTAATTTATTAAGCATCATATTTAATTCACTGAATGTGTATTGAGGATTTGAGGAGCGTAAGACACTGTCCTAGATGTGGGGGATACAAAAGGCATGGGTCTCACCCTGTAGCAGTCTTTTAGACTAGTTAGTAAGTGGTTTCATTGAAGAAGAATGAAATAGAAGCCAAAGGGTTCGTGTTTCTGTAATCATGCTGTGCACAATGAGATTAGAGATAGAATTAAGGTCAGAAAGACCCTAGAGGTGACATGCTTCAGTTCCTCTTTTCATAAATAAATAAACTGAAGCCCAAAGAAGTGACAAACTTAGTACACTCACTAATTACAACTTCATAGAAACAAATGATCATGGTTATAAACATGAGAAGAAGGTTTAAAATTGTGTAGTGTAAAGTTTACAGTTCACAGTGTTTATTTCTTTTGGAGAACAAGAGAGATGGACTGTTCAGAGGGCCTAATTTGAAATTAATACTAGCCATCAGTGTTTATCATGTATTAGACACTGTACATTAATTATTAATTCACCAGCAACAGAGTGAAGTAGGTATTCTTCTCCTCATCCTAAAAGTAATATTGTCTAAAATTTATTGAGCCCAAAGTATCAGGTTAAGTATTTTCCTTACATTACCTCGTTTGAGCTCCTTAAGAAGGCTATGAGGTAATTACTATCATTACTCCATTTACTGGTGAGAAAACTGGGATTTAGAGAGTTATGTGACTTCCCCAAGGCCATTTATGTAGTATTAGAGTTAGAATTTAGAATCGGGTCTACTTGACTCCATAGTCTCTGCCCTCAGGACCTGGCTTATAGTTTTATTAGGAAATTCTGCCCTCTAACATCATGTATGCTGGTTTTGTGCTTTTCGGTTAAAATATTGGAGCCTGAATGTGGATGGCAAAGGTACAGATTTTGTCAGGTGTTTTGATGGCACTGGTCTTAGTATCAGGATGTAAGATGGTACACTTGAGGTAGAGTAGGAGAAATGAGCTACTAGGAAAAGAATCGATTTTTAAAGTTCTTTAGTCTGAATGGTTTGAGGACTAAAAACAAAGGCTTTGTCATGTCTCTCATCCAGTTGCATATATTGTGTGAGAATCTGCCATATAACAAGTTGGAATATTTAAGCCTGGGTTAAATATTTACTCAGTATCCATGTGCCACATATTGTCCTTGGGGCTAGCATATAGAGGAGGTCATACTTGCCCTCAGTATGCTCAAATCTATATGCTTGCTACAGTAACTCATTCCTCTACAGCCAATGTATTGTAGTACAAGTAGTCCAACTCATTGCTCTGTGGCTCGCAAGAGCAAAGGACTAAGACAGTGGGGGAATGGTTTTCTGGGAGGAGGGATCAGGTGATGCCTCACAGTGAGGTGACATTTAAGCTGGAACTTAAAACAGGACAAGCGTATCATGCAGGAGATAATGAGGGAGGAGAAAACAATATGAGCTAAAGTGTAAAGATATGAAAGTATGTGGCTTGTTCAGGGAACAACAGATGTCTGTGTGGCTAGGCCATAAGGTGAATAAGCAGAGATGTCTGGGTTGGGGTTAGGTTATAAAAGACCTTCCCTGTATTTAGCTAGGAGTTTGGACTCTATATTCCGGGCAGTGGGGACACACTAAAGTTTGTTGTGTTAGTTGGGTATATCCAGACATATACAGAAGTAGACAGTGTGATGAACCCATGACCCAGCTTCAGCATTTATTAACTCATGGCCATTCTTGTTTTATCTGTAGCCCCTACTGCTCCCCATCATATTTTGAAACAATCTCTGACACTATTTTCATCCATAAATATTTCACTCTGTATCTCATTAAAAAGTATCAAATATCCAGTTAATGTTCAAATTTCTGATGGTTAAATAACTGTCATACTTTTAAAATTATAATAGTCCACACATTGAAATTGACATTTCTCTTAAGTCTCTTAATCTTTAGGTCCTTCGTTCAGCACCTCCCCCCCTTGTAATTTATTTGTTGAAGAAAATGAGCTGTTTGTCTTGTAGAGTTTTGTACAGCCTGGATTTGGCTAAATGTGTCCCCCTCATGTTGTTTAACATGTTACCCTATTTCCTGGGTTGAATCTAGAGGCTTGATCAATTCAGGTTCGTTTTTTGTGGAAAAACTCATGGATGGTGGGTGGTGTGTTCTTTCATCAGGAGGCACATAATGCCACTTTTATCCATTAATTTCTTAGCGATTAGAAAATGGTGCTGTTTGTCTTGCTTAGTTAACAAAGTTGAAGAATTATGCAGGTCAGATCAGGGATCCATTGTGTCTTATTTAAATCTGTTTTAGGACGGAGGTCACTTATAGTAGAGTCAATATTTATTGGCCAGTCAGAGCAAGAGATCTTGGGTTAATGTTAGTTTATTATTTGACTTATATGAGTTATTAACTTTTCACTCTTCTTAGTCTTCAGTAAACTAGCTCTTTGTGGTATTTTATGTAAAAGCAGTCTCTATTAATACATACATCTAGAGTGTTTTCACTTGTGATCGTTAAATAGTTTCCATCAAAATGGAGCTGCTGTGGCTCAGAAGATACATAAGCTTTGGAAAAGATTCTGAGTGTCTCTTGTTTTACAGGCTTCTTTCGTCTCACAGTGTACCCCAATCACAAATCCACACAAGTGCTTCTCTTGACATTTCTCGAAAATGGGAGAAGAAGAATAAAATTGTTTATCCTCCACAACTACCTGGAGAACCTCGGAGACCAGCAGTAAGTTTGTGGGTAGAACTAATCTCTTAATTTTGTTAAAGAGCTCTTGCTCTTACGTGGCTAGCAATGAGGATTTATTCCATGTTAAGAAAAGAAAAAAATGTACAGCAATTTGCATGATCCTTTAATTGATACAGAAAATGTTCTAGACTTACCCCTTTGGTAGTTTAAAAAGATTGTCTTTGTTTTACTTACTTGTTTGCCTTGAGTTAACCTCCTGGGTAGGGACCTTAACTCTGAGAATAAGCTAATAGCTTGAGACATACTGACTGATTTTTGACTCCAAGAGGCTTGCTAATGGATTCTTGATAATGGAGCTCGAAAAGTTGGCAAGAATGACTTAAGCCATTGTCCAATATTTAAATCATATATATGGTTTTCCAATGTTTTGTATTTGAATATAGACATATTTGGTTGTAGGTTTTTTTTTCCTTAACTCACAAACCTTTGAACCTAAGGTTTAAATTTAATCATTGGAGTCCTTCCCGAGTTGAGTTTTATCTTATCTTTAGCTGCTCAGAATTCTTTTGCCTTCTCCAAACTGCTGAGATTGCTCCAGTCTGAGATATAAGACTAATTGCCAGCTTAACATGAATTTGCTTGGAATACATCCACATCTGGTAAAGAGTTTATGCAAGTAATAATAGCATAGACAAGATGGGAACAGTTGAATCCTTAAGAACATAAACTGCAATAAGTACTTTGGAAATAGAATCACTGTTGTTAATTATAAATCATTCACTTCAGCAAACATCTTTTGAAGGCTTTTGGGATTTAAGGCTACTAGATAATCAATATCATCTAAATAATGTCATTTGCTTAGTTTTTATGTGAATTGACAACATGCATTTCATTAAGATTCAATTGCTGTGTAAGTATTGGTCTGAATTAGTAGTTTTATGGGTTTTTTCTTATTTACTGGAGTTAATTTATTGATTTAAAGAGCTCCCACCTAATTGGGAAATAAGAGGAAAGAGAGATGTTAATAGTTTAAACAAATAACTTTTTAACTTTCATATTTTATCATGCAATCAGAACTTAAAAGTTAGATTTGTCACAGAATCTGTGCTGTGAAGTATTGACTTCATTTTGTAATTAACCAAAATTTAGAAAAAGTTATACATTTGTACAAATATCATAAATAAAATACTTCCTATAATTAATGAGCTTTCTTTAATTCTCCCATCCAAGTACTAACCAGGCCCGACCCTGCTTAGCTTCCGAGATCAGACGAGATCAGGCTCGTTCAGGGTGCTATGGCCGTAGACAGAGCTTTCTCTAATTCTTATCTGAGCTCTTTGAACTTAGATATTAGTTGGAAATAAAGAAATCACAACAGTATTTGTCAGGTCCAGAATATAAAAGCAAAATTTTATAATACGTAGTACCAGCCTTTTTGGATATAAAACAAATGTACTTCAGGATTTATCCCAAATGACAGTTCAAATACTTAACAGTCGATCATCCCCTTAACTCTAGCAAATGAAGAACAATGTAATCTAGCCATTTGTTGCATATTGTATTTACTGAAACTATTTTGATTAACTTTTTTGCATCATAAATACTCCTTATACAAGTGTCTATGTGAGGACATTTGGTTTGATTTTATATAGGCACTTTCTAAATTCTCTATTTTGCACAGATTTTGTTTGAATGGGTAATCCTTTTGGGGACAAATTATGACTTTTGGAAAATACCTTAACATTTTCTGACTTTAAATAGTATTTGGGGGAACAGCCCAGTGGCACAGCGATTAAGTGCCTACATTCCACTTTGGCGGCCCGGGGTTCCCCGGTTCAGATCCTGGGTGCGGACGTGGTGCCGCTTGGCAAGCCATGATGTGGTAGGCAGCCCACATATAAAGTAGAGGAAGATGGGCATGGACGTGAGCTCAGGGTCAGTCTTCCTCAGTAAAAAGAGGAGGATTGGCAGCAGATGTTAGCTCGGGGCCAATCTTCCTCAAAAAGAAAAAAAAGAAAGAAATAGTATTTGGTAAATTGACATTAATGAATCAGTTATACCTGTTATGAATGAAATATTAATGTCCTTCATAAATCTGTAGCTTACTAACAGGGAATACTTTGCTCATCTGGCCACGTAGTTCATACACTGTGCCATTATGTGCAGTGTCCCTTAAACTTGCTGATCTGCTAGCTACAAACATTTAAAAAATTAGTTGTATCTCTAGCTTAAAAGAGGGCCAGACAATATTTACCATTCTACCTCATTCTTATCTTTAGTATTAGAATATGTAGTTAAAGAAATAATAGTGGGTGGGGTAGTGAATAAATCCTATAGTATAAGTTAAAATGAATGTCACCAATTTAGGCATGTTTTAGGCCACTCCTAATACGTATTTTTTAGACTACCTTCCTAATTTAGCTTGCACCAATTTCCAAACAATATCGATTCCTGTGCAGACTTTATCTTACATATGCCTTCACCATGGTAAAGAAAATAAGTCAGAGAGAAATTAAATGGCTTTCTTCATAATAGTTATACCTTGTTAATTTGGGCTTGAGTTTACTTTTGCAATATTGTTGAAGAAAGCTATGTTAAATAAATTAAAATTTTAGTGAGACTATATCAAAACTGTTTGAACAACCATTTGTATAAGAGGCATGTTGTTAAATTATAGATTAATTGACATACTGATAATATGTCATGCTTATAAGTCGTTAATGTAGACCACAGAAGGCTCTAGTAAGGACTTTTATTAGGTGATACTTTCTTGTCATTTGAGTTATGTGCACTTAAAAATAAATTAACTTCTTTAAAAGTTACTGGTTAAGACATTTCATAATTGAGACTAACTTTTACTTCATTTGAATAACTGTTTTGCTCATTATATCCTAACTTAACTTTACCTAATTTGCTCTATAGGTTAGTTAATGGCAGTGATATTTAACCAGACCTTCTGACTTCCGGCCTTCCCACTCTGTTTGCCATGATGGGTTTATTTACTGAGATTTTTGTTTGATTTATCTTTAAGAAGTGCCCTTAGACATTGCACCTACCTCAAGTAAATCTTGAGCTTCTTAGTTTTAGGAGAGGATGATTGAAGAACTTTCCCCCTTTTCCAGTAAATACTTGATTCCTTTTTTCCCATGCTCTTGCCAGGATTACAGTATCTTTTTTACAAAATTTGAAGATAATCCTATACGATTCAGGCTTAAGATAGCCCACCAGGGGAAACCAAGAATTGAAAGGTTTCTATATAAAAGATTTTATTGACTGTATTAATTTTTGCAGATTAATATTATCAGTCATGACAGTTCTTCTTTCCTCTCCTGCACTCCCTGGGACATTTTATTGCTGAAAATGTAATTAGGCTATTGCTACAGTTTTCAGCCTGTCAGCTTCTATTGCAAGTGAAATGAAATCTGCTACATATTAAAAGATGGCCACTTTAGAAAACTGTCGTTTCTAAGGCATTTGAAAATTTCCAGCGAGAGTCAGAATGTTAGGAAGTTCTGAGTTCTCCTTGCTATTGTTTTCCTTGACAAATGTTCTCTAATTTTTTTAAAGTGGTGATATGATGTAGCAGTGAAAGAAGGTGGGTTTTAGAATCATAAGGGGAAGTTTGAAGCTACACCTGCCAGACGTTGTATCAGGCACTTGCTCGGTATGGCACTTTGTGTTCTAACTTTGTCTCTTAGAAGCTGTTCAGTCTTGGACAAGTCACTTGATTTCTCTGATTTTCACTTTGTAAAAGGATTATAAAATGTCTCCTCTCCCAACTCATAGAGTTAGATCAAATGAAACAATGGGCTTGAAAAGTGCTTTGTGAACTCTAAATTGTTTAATGGATGATTGATTAAAAAACTTAAATAAGGGGCTGGCTCCGTGGCCGAGTGGTTAAGTTCGCATGCTCCGCTGCAGGCGGCCCAGTGTTTCGTTGGTTCGAATCCTGGGCATGGACATGGCACTGCTCATCAAACCATGCTGAGGCAGCGTCCCATATGCCACAACTAGAAGGACCCACAGTGAAGAATATACAACTATGTACCAGGGGGCTTTGGGGAGAAAAAGGAAAGAAATAAAATCTTTAAAAAAAAAAAAACTTAAATAGGCTATGCCTACTACTATAAATAGGAGATAATGCAAGCTAACATTTATTAAGATCTTACCATGTGCTAGGCACTGTAAACTGCTTTCTTTACATAGGTTATTTTATTTAATCTTTATTATAGTTTCATCTTCATTTTAAAGAAGAGGACACTTAGGCAGAGAGAGTTTAAGTACCTTGGGTTCTGTAGTTAATAAATGGTAGAGCTGGGATTCAGACCCGAGCAGTCTGATTCTAGAATCTGTGCTCTTAACCAAATACTAGAATATTGGCTTTCCTATGAAAACAGTTATTTTGTCCATTTCATCATTGTTAGCTGACGAGAAACTTTTGTTGTTGTTGTTGTAGTACCTTTTCTTTAGTTCTTTTAGCCAGCTAAATGTTCTCAAAATACTTTCATTTAAACCTTTTGCTGTTCCTCTGGATAGAAATATTGTAATTATTGGCACAAACTAGCCATTTTATAGTTCCTGTTTCTCCCTTAGTAATCTTTTTACGTAGTGGGACTTTGGAATAATACAACTTTCTGTAGGGAAAAAGAATCTGCAAATTCTTTATAATGTTTTTACTTCTCGTGTCAGCATTTTCATTAAGCATAGAAAGTAAAAACTTTATTAGCAGTATATTACTATCATTTTGATAAACTTGCTAAAGTTTTTTTTCCTCCTTATTTCTAAGGAAATCTATCATTGTCGAAGGCAAATAAAATACAGCAAAGACAAGATGTGGTATTTGGCAAAACTGGTAAGCTAAAGTGACTGTTACCGTATAATACTCAGGAAGAGGAGCTATGAGGTTCCCTCCAGGACCTGAAAAATCAAAAAAATTTGCTCTGATTTCTTCAAAAGTGAGGAGTGTGATTATGTGTTCAGATAGTTGGTAAGGGATCAAAAAATAATTGCTCAGAGATGAGTGATTTTGCTTAATTTTTCCCTTTCTTCTGAGAAACTAAATCACATTGGATACATAGATATTTAAAACAAAGGCATCAGGAATCTGTCTACAACCAGAGAATCCAGGAAGCAAGCTTACTTATCTGTAAAATTTGATTCAACCTATTTCAAAACTGTTGCTTTTTAAGTTTTTTTCCCTGGAAAATGAAATTTATATATGAGAGGAGGCAAAAGCAGCAAATATACAGGTAATTCATTTATCCTGTAGCAGAAGGTGCCTTTGATGCCTGGTGTGGTCCTTGCCAGTCTGTGATTTCTCTCTGTCATGTCTGCTCTCTCTTTTAATATTACTGAAACTGTTAGGATCTAGGTTTTATGGTTAAAGTCTTTGTTTGATTGTGACTTAAAGAGGGTGGTACCCTTTCTCAAACTTGTTTTCTTCTCTTTTGCCTGCATTTAGTTAGCTATTTTTATTTTTAATTTTTAAAAAACTTCCTCCTAGTTTTATTGAGTTATAATTGACATATAACAGTTAGCTATTTTCAGAAGTTGTTTGGAACATGTAAAGCTTTTACTTTTCATTGAAAAGGCAACATTGAACTTGTAAACTACTTTGTCTGTTTTCTCTTATCTGTTACCTTTTAATTCTAGATACGAGGAATGTCCATTGACCAGGCTTTGGCTCAGTTGGAATTCAGTGACAAAAAAGGGGCCCAAATAATTAAAGAGGTAAACTAATGGGGGGAGGGATCACATAGCTGTCTTGCAGTTAGTAAGCTCGGCTACCTCTTGAATTCCCTGAATTTCCTGGTGTAAATACATAGTTTACATAATACAGGTTTAGGGCACTCACTTTTGCTAATGTTCTTATATCTTAGAGACATTGTTTGCTTTAAGTATTTTTTTCCTGAGATGCTTTTGTTTGCACCAGACATTTATTTATTTTTTACTGTCTGTCTGTGAAGTGATAAATCTTATTTTTCATGATTTGGGGCTTGATATATTTTTTAGAAGATTTTTGTTTTGGTCAATTCCGAAACTGAGAGCTTGTGATTTGATAACAGTTGAGTGGAAAGAGCACTGGACTCAGGAGACTTGGGATCTAGTTTTTTCTCTGACAGTTTCTGTTGTGACTATGGGCACCACATCCTGGCTGGTTCCATTTTTCTCGTTTGTAAACTAGGTGGGATTGGGTTAGATGTTCTCTTAAGACCCTTTTAGCTCTAAATGTAGCTGACTTCACTACATACTAATGAGCCAGTGGTATTTGTGCTGACTCATTCTGGGCACATGAGTGTTTTTGTCTCCAAAAGCTGGGTTAAGGACATCTGGGGGTATCAGCATTGTTTTTTTATTTTTGAGGAAGATTAGCCCTGAGCCAACTGCTGCCAATCCTCCTCTTTTTGCTGAGGAGGACTGGCCCTGAGCTAATATCCATGCCCATCTTCTTCTACTTTATATGTGGGACGCCTACCACAGCATGGTGTGCCAAGTGGTGCCATGTCTGCACCCGGGATCCGAACCGGCAAACTCCGGGCCGCTGAAGCAGAATGTGGGCACTTAGCCGCTGTGCCACTGGGCTGGCCCCCAGCATTATTTTTTATATTCCGGTTAATTTGCACCTCAAGTCAGATCTTATCTTTTTAGTTTAGCAGTTGAATCATTAAGAGTTGAATTGAATTGTTAAGATTGTTGGATTGAGACTTCTAAAAGTTTCCATTGTAATACCTCTATTTAATTCAATTCAGAATGCAGTTACTAAGTATCTATTGTGTACCCAGCTTTGTACTATGTTCTTTATCTTTAAAGGAGTGAAAGATCTAGTTTCTTTTGTTTCTGACTACAATTGTCCTACTCTAAAAAATGTGATCTGGAGGAAGTTAACTTAATTCAAAATATGTATAGAGTATAAATTTAATAATTCTTAAAGGAAATTTTGGAGTATGATTTTCTCTACTTGTCTGTTGCTAATGGTTATTTTGGATCCAATGTTTAAGAAATTTCAGTAAGATTTTGCTCTTGAGCTTCTTGAACTTTTTGACAAGTCTCTGACTCAAAGATATTACGTTCATTACCAAGGGTACTGTCGCAAGTGCTGCTATCTCCTTTACAGCCTACACCTTCCATTGTAAACTTAGGGGGATGGGCTGTGTTCCTGGTGTTTGCAATACTTGTCTGAGGAAGGAAAGCTCACTGTATCCCTTGTCCTTAGTGCTGTTTGATGCATTTGATGTTCTCTTTTTAAGATTGACTGTAAAATGGAGGCATGTGATTAGCAGTCATATTATAGAGATAACAACAAGAAATGAGAAATTTTAATTCTGTTTTAATTCAAGTTTAGCCATATGAGTGCCTTTCTTTTCCTTGTTTAAGGTTCTCTTAGAAGCACAAGAGATGGCAGTGAGAGACCACAATGTGGAATTCAGATCCAATTTATATATAGGTAAGATCTGTAATATTCTTAGCATTGGAAAATGTCTTCCAACAGCGATGCCAAGTTCTTTATCTAACAGCAGTCTTTGATATCTAATTCCTTAGGACTGGGTTTGCCAGTGAAAATCGCCAGCAATAGCTTATTCTTCAGCCTTCAGCATGCTAATGTTAGTCTGTTGTAAATGGTAGTAACCTTCCTACTTTATTGTTACCTGTTCTGTCATGAGACTGAGATCATGAAACCTACTACCACTAATGGATACCAAGATGGTATATAGAGTGGTCCTTTAATCATGATAAAACTAAGAAAGAACAGGACTGATTTTTTTTTTAATGAATTCTTTGTCAACCTGAAGGAAGTAAATAAAGGATGACAAGTAGGCTTAAAAACCCTTTATAATGTGCCAAGCCAGGTGCCTAATCCATAAAGGTCCTATAATTTAACCTTCCAATTACCAGAATGGAACATCTGTTGAATTGTAAGAGCCAAGGGGCCTTGGAATGCTCAGATGACCCAGATGTGTTTGTTCCCCTTTGTTATTACATCCGGAAGCATATCTCCCGTTTTGTATGCTTGTTCCACATCAAATTAAATTAATGTGAGTGAAAATGCTTTGGGAAGCATGATGCACTGTACAAATGTAAGGGATTTTTTTTTGTAGCCTGTGTTCACACAGCTCTTTTTCTAGAAAGAGATCGACGTTTAGTACAAAGCTCTCTTGCCCCCTCCAACTCTACAGTGAAGTGGAGCAGTAGTTAGTAATGTTTTCTTCTCACTTCAGCAACAATTGCTCCTAACCTAAGCAGTTTTTTAATCAAACAAAGATGTTGATGTTGAAGCAAAATTTTCTCAGTGCCAAACTTACGTATAAGGACTATTTTATCTAAAGATATTTTAAATTTAAGATATGGAGAACTGCTGCTCTCCAAATGAAGGAAAAAAAGGCTTAATCATTGTGGAGGAAATTAGTTCTGTCTTATAATTTTTCAACAATTAGATTAAAAAAAAATAATCTCAGTTCCACTCTGACACATCACCTCTGCCCTACTGGAGATATTTATTCTGGTTAAGTTAAACTCTCCCCTCAGTTCACCTGAGATTGATGCTGGCAACACCACCTACTTCTGAAATTCAAATGAGTTATGGTTTTCAATTGAAATATCTTATTTTAAAGCTGAATCTTGAATAACTAATTATATTCTGATACACATGTAGGTGCAGAGAGAAATCAAAATGGCAACTCAGAAGATGCAGGGCTACAGTAGTTAATCATAAGAATTTTCTTCTGGGAGCTGCATGAATAAATAATGCCGGGAGGGCCCAGAATTGTTGGAAGAGATGAAATGGATGAAGAGCAAGGCCATTTGCTTGAAACCTCTTGGTGACCTTTCCTGCTCTATGACTGAATATCAAGTCAAATTTAATTAACTTTATTCAGTTTCTTAGGAATATGGCTTCTTAGCTGATAGACAACACATTAGAATGGAATTCAGATACAAATGAAATAGAGTTTGTCTTTAAATCCTTTTCAATAACTGTGGTAAAGAGAGATAGGGTGAGGAGCTTAATCCTGTCTTCCCACATGAAGGAGCAAAGTCCAGTATTGCTAGTGAGCAAAAATAAACTTAACCAGTGCTACATGAATGGGCCTTTAATTCATTGGTCTCCTTAGCACATTTCTCCTAAAACATCTCTGCCCTACCTGCACCTTCTTTCATCTAGTTCTATGTAAAATCTCCTTTCTTAAGTAGGGCTGATAAGTTTGCATTTGTCTTATGATTTTAAAAACTCATTTGCGAAGTATATTGCTACCTAATTCCATTATGGAGGGAAAGAGATGAGTACCCTTAGGAAGAAGTCTCTCACCATGACATGGTAGACGTTTTATCCCTATTTTGGCTGTACTTCCCTGATAAGAATCATCTGAGGTTCTTATTAAAAATACAGATTCCCAGGCCTCACCACAGAGCTGCTGGGTCTGAAGCCCTAGGGGAGAGGCCTGGGAAGCTATTTGTTTAATAAGTACTCTAGTGATGTTTACTTATAAAATGTGGGAGACTGATTTATCCTATTGTATTCTTAGAAAAGGCCTAGACATTTCATTCCATAGACTAGATTTCCATTGAAAGACTAGTTACTTGTTGGCTACCATTTTGGCTCAGGAATGGCTCTTTCAGCCCCCTGAAATAAAGAAGTATAGGCATTTTAAGGGAAGTGCTTTTTTGGTAGCATATGTTCTCATTATATGGTAATTCCTTCAAATACCTATCATCAGTCTAAAGCTAATACCTGGTGTTGCATGACCAAAGATTTTGAAAGTTCATTTCCTTTTCAAACTTATAATGATGAGTAATGACACTGTGAATAGGCCTTAACAAGTGGACATGGACTAATAAAACGTCACTGCTTAGTGATTCATGGTGTCTAAAATGATTCCCTTTAGGGAAAGTGATTGAGTCACTTTTGTAAATCAGTCTTCTGGGCTTAGAATGATGAAGCGGGGAGGAGAGGATTTCTAATCTTAAAATGTCAAGCTTCACATTTACCTAAATACTAGTAATTTACCTACATTGACACTATCTTAAGTAAGATATTAAGAGTGTCCAAGAGAAAAGATTTTCAAAGTGAGGTAACCACATAAGCAAATGCATGTGGGTTGGAATGAACAGTAATTGTGTGTTACGGGAGTAGAATAGTGTGAAGGAAGTAGAGGGTTGAGGTAGAGCAAATAAAATTGAAAGGGTGGGTTGGGCTGGATTCCAGAGGGCTGAACATGGCAGGCTGTGGCATTTGGTTCAAACTGTATGGAAGAGAACCCAGGGGAAGCTTTTGGGTAAGAGATATATGTTATTAAGGTAGGGTTTTAAGACTGTTAACTGTAAGCATTGGTTTTGAAATTGTGCTGTGAGGCCTCCAGGAGTGGGGCCTGGGGCAAACAGAAGGGCTCTTGATATCTTGATCACTGCTGTATCCTTGGAGCCCAGGATAGAGCCTGGCACCCTCTTGGAACTCAGAAACAATTGTTGGGTGAATGAATGGCACAGTTTTGGATCTCTGACCACCATCTTTCAGTTGGGACAGATTCACACTACAGACAGCTTCTACATGTTGTTTCATTGTAATGAAATGGTTCCATACAAAAGCAGTTTGAAACTCCCAACATATGGAATTAGTGGAGGAGAGACTGGAGGAGGGGAGACCAGAAACCAATTTGGAATCTATGCTCTTAAATGCTGATTTCATTCGGAGCTCAAAGTAGCTGTGTAGTGTATTAAAGAATACTGGTGTTTCAGAAGAATTAATGTTTTTGTTTTGACAAAAAATGATGGCATTATGTGCCATAAGGTGATACTTTATGGCTGAAGGATGAAATCATGACTGGCCATTAGCAGATATTGAGTGTCTGCTCCTAGGTGTTTGGGGGATGTTGGAAGGAAAATGGTGGTTAACAGACGCTGGTAGGGTTGGTCGTTGTGTTTTGGTAGAGTGTATAGTGCTGCACAGTCAGCTGGTTTTGATACTTCTCTCACTGAGTAATGTTCCTTATGCTCAGAGTATTTGGAAATTGGTGCTCAAGTTGGGTAGAGTTGTAATTTTGGATAGCAGCCATCGTGTTTGTAAAATGCTTTTTAGAGTTTTCTACACTCTAGAGTTTTCTACACTCTTCCTAGGTGTCACTATTCTTGTCTGTAGGTTTCCTCCTGACGGGTGCATCTAGAAACCTGGTGGTACTTCACTATAAAGTGATTTGTGTAATGCTGCTTTCTCTTTGGAAAGTCTTAAACGCATTCTTTAGTGCCCAGTAGATGAAGTTGGTATAAGGCTGTAGCTCTTTCCTTAACTCACTGAGACCCTAAGCAGTTTTCTTAATCACTTCATCCTTGGCTTTCTCTTTGGCGAAGCTAGGATGCTTCTGCTGAAACCCATTTCAGGATTGTAGTTAGATGGTTGTCAAGTGTGTGATTTGATGTAGTCCCTATATCAAAAAGTTATGTCACAGTAAGCATACAAAAATGGTGAGTATTGAAGTGGATTAATTTGGAATGTGTTCTATACGTTTTGCCTTTTTAAAAGACTTATTAAATGAACTCAAAAAGTAACTGACTAAATAAATTCAGAAAATAGTAGAAGGCGGTTATTACTCTGATGTATTATGGGTAAACAGATTTCTTCTTATGCACTCTTTAAAAGGTTTCTTCAAATTTTACAAGGTCAGACTTTGACATGCAGCGTGGGGGAGGGGAGATGAGGGGCAATTATAATGCTGAACTTCCTAAAACTGGCTGCGAATCAGAATTACTAGGGGGAGTTGGGGTGGGGGTGGTGTTTGCTCAGAATGTAGTTTCCAAGGCCTCTCCCAAATATACTAAATTAGAACTGCAGAGATGTGGTCTCAGCATCTGCGTTTTAAGTATGTTTCCTAGGTTGGTCTCATGTAGCTAGCCCGAGGACCAGCTTTTGGGAACCCTTGGTTCCAGTGGCTTCTCATCACAATTAGAATAAAATCAAAACAACTCACCTCAGCCTACAGGGCTCATCGTCATCTTGCCTTCATCTCTGGTCTCTTTCCTTTGTTCGTGTCACCCTTCTGGCTTACCACACTTCAGCAGGCTGGTCCTTCTATTCCTAAAACAAGCCAAGCACATTCGCACCGTTGGGTCTTTGCCCTTCCTGTTCCCTCTGCTTGGAATACCCTGCCCCTAGATATTTGCGTGGATGATTCATTCTGGTCTTAGATCAAATGTCTCTTCCTCAAGAATGCCTCGTGACACCCCCCAATCTGAAGTTGCCCCAACACCCTATCACTCTCTGTCACATCACTGTTTTACTTTATTCATAGCGCTTGTCGCTAACTGAAATGATGATGTGTATTTTTTATCTTTTTCCTCTAGAATGTACACTGCATGGCGCTAGGGCCCTTGCTAGTCTCCTTCACTCTCCTTTCTCCAACACCTAGAACAGAGCCTGGTCCTTGATAAACTCGGGATACTTATTTTGAGACAAGCCTGCCCTAGCCAGCCAGTGAGCTCATATAGTCATAGAATCCAGTCAAGGAAAGGGCAGAAATTGCTCAGCTGATTGAGCTGTAGTCTTATGGATATAGTCATTTGCTATAATTCTCTTTTTCTTCCCTATCTAGCTGAGTCCACCTCAGGGCGAGGCCAGTACCTGAAACGCATCCGATACCACGGCAGAGGTCACTTTGGGATCATGGAGAAGGTTTATTGCCATTATTTTGTGAAGTTGGTGGAAGGCCCCCCACCTCCACATGAAGCACCCAAGACAGCACTTACCCACGCCAAAGAGTATATTCAGGAGCTCCGGAACCGGACCATCATTCACACTCTATGATGGGGGAATTCAGACTCCACAGTGTATATATTTTGCCATTTATTTCCTAAAAACAAACAAAAATTAAAGACAAATGCTTTTTATGATTTGTCATCAAATTATTGCAATGTGAAGTATAACTGCCGGTTTTATGCGAGTATTTATAAGGCTTTGCCCATCCCTCTTGAGCCTTTGGATTTATTTATGCATTTGCAACTTGAAAGGGGAAATCAGCTTTAAACATGGTAAAAGACTATAATTCAGAAGGCTTTTTTGAGGGCCTTTTGAAGGGAATGTTTACTTTCCAACTAGTGTCCTGCAGGTGGCAGTTTTGATGCTGGACTCGAGTAGAAGGTTATAGGAGAAGAAAGCTTGTCCTTCTTTCGCTTAATTTTCTCTTGGGCCCGGGGAAGGGGTGGTGGAGGTGAGCGATGCTGCATGTTGTTTATTGCAGTATTTTAGGGCATTTCGTGGTTTTGTTTTTCCTTTCACTGTTGTCGTAGGCCAATGGGTGAGGGATTGTATTTTCCTTTAGTGTTTTAGTAGTAACTTGAAATTACAGGAGTTCGTTAGATATATTAAACTAAAACTCCAAAAGCCTTTTAACTTAGAAGTTTTCTTCTACTTAAATACTTTTCACGTTTCCTTCCAACAGTGCTTTCTGTTGCTTGGATATCTTGTTTAGGATTAATTAATTTTTTGGAGTGAATTCAATTACTGAGAGAGGAATTGAACCAGTCTTAGCATTGCATTCTAAAATAAGGCAGTAGATGGCACTCACTCACCTCTTGTTAGCAGAAAATTGTTCCTGTTGGAGAGTTCAGCACTCCCTGGCTCTCACCGATACATGTCTTTTCTTTGACAAGAAGCACCCTGTCCACAGCCCTCATCCAGTGTTGCTCGAACTTTTGTATGCAGAGAAAGAACTGGGGGTGCTTGCTTGTTAATGCAGACTTCTGGGTCTCGCCCCAAGGATTCTGATTCACTGGGTCTTCTGAGGGGCTAGTTCCAGAAATCTGTTTTCCACAAGCACTTCTAGGTGATTCTATTGTAGGGGCCACACTTTGAGAACACTCCTGTAATCAAACAGAGTATAGTTTTACCGCCATGTTTTAAGATGCATTAATCATAGCTACTGTTTACTGAGGGCTCATTATTTGCCAAGCTCTATGCTAGTATTTTACATAACTTTTCAGAACATCCTGCCACTATCAGTCTTGTTTTGCCACTTTGTAGAGGAAGAAACCAAAGCACACAAAATTTGATTAACTAGGGCCTGGCCCTGTGGCCGAGTGGTTAAGTTTGCGCGCTCCGCTGCAGGCGGCCCAGTGTTTCGTTAGTTCGAATCCTGGGTGCGGACATGGCACTGCTCATCAAACCACGCTGAGGCAGCTTCCCACATGCCACAACTAGAAGGACCCACAACAAAGAATATACAACTATGTACCGGGGGGCTTTGGGGAGAAAAAGGAAAAAAATAAAATCTTTAAAAAAAAATTTGATTAACTATCTCAGGGTCACACAGCTTGTAAATAGTGGAGCTATGATTTAAACTAGGTTCTAAAGTGCTGCTTCTGCATAGCTAATATACAGATGGGTTTTTGTGCCTCTCCACTTAACCTAATGCTTGGGTGAAAAGGCAAAGGGCTCAGTGGAATAAGCTGCTGAGGTTTAGGACAGATTCATTCTGGGTCCTCAGCTGTTGTAGCATGGAATCATGCAAACAACACTGGAGCGGTGAAAGGCGACCTTCATTCTAGTCCTGGCTTACTCACTAACCGGAAAGAAGAGGTGGGGCAGGTCCCTTCCCTCCTGGCCTCCGTTTCCTTCATCTGTAAAACAAGAAGCTCTGTGTTCTCTGTAGACCGCCTTCTTCAGAATCTCTTGAAGAACTTGTTTAAAAATGCAAATTCCTGGGCCCTACTCTCAGACTAAGTGAACTGGAATCTGGTGTGGGAGACCAGGGGACTTGCACTTTTAGCAAATGCCCTGGTGACGTGTGTGCTGGAGACTCACTGGACCAGAAGGTCTCTGTGCTCTCTTTCAGTGCAGGTGCTCCGTGATTCTTAGCCTCGGAGTTTTGACCTCCTTGGGTTTCACTAAAACAAGCCAGGTGGTGATGTGGACTCCATAACTGTAAATTATGTAAATGAAGGTACTGCCTCAATCAGGCTGTTAAGACTATTTTGCAAGAATTAAGGACAAAACAGACCTTGGATTCTAATAAAGAAAGTTTGCTTGTGATCTAAGATTAAGCCTTCATTTGGGACTGCTTCTGGTGTGTTAGAAAGTGTAATAATAGCTTACACATAACACTAGCACTATTTTAAGCACTTTATACAGTAGTCCCCGTTTATCTGTGGTTTCACTTTATGCTGTTTCAGTTACCTGTGGTCAACCATGGTCTAAAAATATTAAATGGAAAAATTCAAGAAATTAACAATTTGTAAGTTTTAAATTGCACGCTGCTGTTCCGAATAGCATGATGAATTCTCACGTTGTCCTGTTCTGTCCCGCCTGGGATATGAATCCTCCCTTTGTCCAGTGCATCCATGCTGTCTACACCACCCACCCATTCGTCACTTAGTAGCCAAGGCAGTTATCAGATCAACTGTTGCGGTATTGCAGTGCTTCCTTTAAGCGAAAAGGTGAAAGTTCTCAGCTTAATAAGGAAAGAAAGAAAATTGTATGCTGAGGTTACTAAGATGTACAGTAAGTTTTATTACATATATTGTTATAGTTATTCTATTATTAGTTATTGTTATTAATCTCTTACTGTGCCTAATTTATAAATTAAAATTTATCATAGGTGTGTATGTATCAGAAAAAACATGGGCTATATAATGTTCAGTACTAGCCACGGTTTCAGGCGTCCCCTGGGGGTCTTGGAATGTATCCCGCGAGGATCAAGGTGGACTACTGTATACATTATCTCCATTAGTGAATCTTTCCCATTGTGACCGGTGCAGAGTACATTTGGTTAGTTTCCATGGCTGAGAGTGCTCTTTCTAACATAAATGAACCTTTTGATCCCTACTTGAAGTTTAACTTTACATGTTCAGAAACTATTAATTATTCTTTAATGGCAATCTCTGAATACTTGTAATTTCCTTCCTTATTTGTCAGAGAATTATGATAGACCTAAACTTTTTTTGTAGGTGTGTAGCACATCCAGAGAGTGCACCAATCACAACTATATAGCTCAATAAATGATCAGCTGGTGAACATGCCCAAGTAACCGGGTGAAAACATAGAACACGATAGCATCCCTGAAGTCCTCTTTGTGCCCCCACCCAGTCACTCCCCACCTCTCTTTCTCAAAGGTAACTATTATCCTGATTTCTAACACATGGCAGGTTTTTAAAAAAATGGTTAGCTTTTTTTCTTTTAACTCAACATAATTTATTGGGCAACCCTTACATGCCTGGCGTTGAGGATACAGGCAATGAAAGAGGAAGCACCCCCGCCCCATGGAGCTCACGCTGATGGGAGAGACAGGCTGTAAATCAGTAATTCAGGTGTTTCCTGCGCTGAGTGATACGAAGGTAGAGGGATGGGGCTATGGGAGCAGACATCAGGGTGCCCTCAAAAATAGTTACTGGGTTTTTGGGAAAGTTTATTTCCTTAAAGAGATACAATGAGGGAAAGGTAAAAATGACAAATGTTGTATAGATCAGTAAAGAGTTGTCTTATCAAAATGCCAGCTTGGGTTTTGTTTTTAACAGTATGAACACTAGAACCCCTTACTCCTTCCACAAGTTAAGATGCATGTGGGATGTGTTGTGTGGATGGAGAATATACTGTCTTTGGAGCTGACTCATTTACCAAACTTTATAAGGGTCCAGCTAAGCCCGAGGGGAAAGATGTGAAGTGTACCACAAACATCGCAAAATAAAACAGATGTGTTTTTCTGTCAGTGATGAAAAATAGATTTCTTTCCATGAGTTTTGTTTTAATACAGAGCTTGTAATAACAATTTTAGTTGATTAAGACAGGCTCAATCACACGTGTGGGTTTAAAACAGGAAATGTTTTTGGAGTAGGTGAGCTCCCATGCAGGAGAAAGTTGCATAGGTGACATTGTTAACACTTCCAGGAAGGGGCACCTCTTCTTAAACCTGTCTCTGGTGTAACTGTCTAGATTGTATCTCTACCTGAGAGAGGTTCTAGACTTTCTTCTTAAACCAGCCTACTGTGAATTCTGTTACTATGTAACTTAGGATGTCTCTGTTACGGAATCACAAATATGTTGGGTGGAAGAGAGGAGATACTGGTAAGTGAATCATACTTGTGCACTCAAGGAAAGCATTGTTTATATTTATCCAATAGGAACTTGAATGAGTTATTTTCACTTACAGCCCAAGGAGACTCACAAAAATTCCACTCTGGAAAGTAAGGGATGGCAATATTAATATCGAACAAAGTGAAACTTTAAGGAAAAGACATTAAATGAACCTAAAAGCGCACATGTGGAGGAACATATTCTGCAGTCAATTTGAGAAAATTTGTAAACCTTCTGAAGTTCATCTGTAAGTTCCTACTATTCACGGTGGACCCCAGGGTAAGAAATTCTGATTTGAATGATTTAAGTTCATTTATCTGGCCACAATTCCTTGCTCTTTCCCTATATCCATGCTCTTTGCAGTGTGACTTTGCAGCTCCTCTTATTAACAGGTGGAGGCTGTTCTGACCTCTTGAATTTGAGCTGACTTTGTGACTTCTTTAGCCAACAGAATGTGGCAGAAGTGACAGTTTACAGGTTTTCAGCCTAGGCCTTGCTTGCATCCTCATTCTTTCTTGGACCTCTGCTTCTGCCGTGTAGAGGAGCTCAGGCTAACTTGTTGGAGAATGAGAGACCATGTGGGAGAGAGCTGTGGGTCCCCAGCTTACAGCCAGCAAAACACTAAACGTGAGAGAGCACAGCCGCCTACCCACCCAAAAACGGATTACGGAACGTGAATGAGCCCTGTTGAGACTAGAAAAACCACCACAAACTGACGTAGCGACTCATGAAGAATAATCAATTCTTCTTTAAGCCACTGAGATTTGAGGTGGGTTGTTACATAGTAATAGCTATGAGATGTATTGCAAACTTTGTACCCTGTAGAGAATACCTATCG